GTCATAGTAACACTTATTCTGATGAATAAGTTTGAACACTAGTTATAAAGCACAGTTATACAAAAAGCTGTCAAAGAATAACATTAATCTTGAACTGTCCTGGAATTTACTTTTGGCTATTCATACATATCCTACAAAAACACTTTAATGAGCATTTGTAAAATATGCCCCCTGCTTTATAAACTTGGAATTATATCAAGATCTGCAGTTACAGTTAAATATGGCAGTTGCAGGGCAGCTTTCAGATAGTTTTACTAATGTGAAAACATGCTAAAAAACTAATATACAATTTCTAGTTTTGTGCGTTTATAATTTAACGTGGAAGCTAGGTTAATACAAAGCTGACTATTTCATGTACTGTATTAATACTAATTAAATTTATTTGGAATAACTATGGAATGTCAATCTTAGTGTAATTTAAAAATATAATCTTTAAACTAGTAGGCATATTGATGTTCAGCCCCAAGCCTGCAAATGTTTTAGAGCTTTTCTTATTCATATAAAATATCTAATTTTAATGAAGAAAATATTATTCGTATTTAATGTTAACAAGTTGACTTTCTGGTTGCCACAAGTGTTGTTATTTGTATAAAATACATTGTAAGCACCGTTGTGGAAACCTGAAGAAAGAAGTACATCAGGTTCTTCTTCTCTGTCAGTTCTGTCTGGGCTGAGATAGAACCAAACTGGGATTCGTTATCTGAATTACCTTTCGGAACCGTCAAAAGATTCAATATTTTCCTTCAAGGGAGCTTCTTTAGAGTTCTTTACTGCTTTGTGTTACCTCATTGGGTAAGGGAGTGCAGCCTTTGAGCCACTGTCATGGTATAAGTAGTAGTCCATGCACTTTTTGTATAGTAACTTAGGAAGTGGAGATCTTGGCTCAAGGGCACTGAGACTTCTTGTTCTACCTCTAAAAGGGATATGCTTATCTGTAGTTATAGAAATAGCTATGCTACTTCAAGAATCCATTTGCCTCCACTAATATTCCTTATATACTTATGTAAGTTTGTTTTCTTCTGTGTCAGCTTTCAGTATAAAATATAATATTCCAGTAGGGTCTTTTTTTTTGTTTTAATTTTCATGTTAGTACAGCATTGGCCTTATTTCCAGTAATCAGAATATAAAAAACTGAATTATGTTCATGAAACAGTTTTATGCTTCTGAAATGCTTCAAACAGTATAGTACTCTAGAATATTCAGTGAGGACCATATGCAGCAGTGAGCATGGAAGTGAATGAATACTGACATCGGATAGGAAATTAACCTAATGTAGCTCTAACTTGTACTACATAGCAGGAGTCAGAAAATAAGAAATACATTATTAAAATACTGCTGTTTAATACTTTTTATAATATCACACATGATTTTTTCTTTTTCTATTATTTTAATACTAGGATAGCTAGATCATGAAAAGCATTCTGGAAAAAAGTAAGTATACTGAAATCTGAAACTTAACTTTCTCAGTGGAAAATTCCAAAATAGAGAAAAGGAAAAAAAGGAGGAGGATGAGGGTCAGAAAAATATCCAATAAATTTTACTCTCCAGCAATCAAAATGAAACTGTGCCTTTAGTTGTTAATTAATACACTCAAAATTTGAACATATTTTACACATCCTCTGGAAATGAAATGATTGATAGAAATTTTCATGGGAAGAATTATAATTTGCTGGTCAGTTCTATTATTTAAATCATTTTCTGAGATCCTAGTAAGTGAACTGTATGTTCTTTGATTAAAAAAAAAAGTGGTACTCAAGTACTGAAATAGGAGACTTTTTTTATAAATCCATGCCTTAAATCCTTGCTGAGAACAGTTTGTCCATGTAAGTTAAGTGTACAGATTACTGCAGTTCTGCTGCATGTTTCTTGTAAATTTCATATATAGAAGACATCTGCTTTTACTTGACATATTAGAAGTGTCATGAACCAAAAATTTACTGTGCCTTTAAATTGACCACAGAATCACAGAATGGTTGAGGTTGGAAGGGACCTCTGGAGATCATCTAGTGCAGCCTCCCTGCTCAAGCAGGGTCCTCTAGAGCATATTTCCCAGGATCGTATCCAGATTGGTTTTGAATATCTCCAGCGAAGGAGACTCCACTACCTCTCTGGGCAACCTGTGCCAGTGCTCTGTCACCCTCACTGTCAAGAAGTTTTTCCTCAAAATACTTCCTCAAAATATTATTTTCTGATAATACAGTAAATGTAATTACCTGCCGTGCTTGAGAGCTGACTGCAGCACTTGAGTAGCTGTGCGGAGTAAAATAGGCAAATGACGATTGTAATCCATGTGTTTTACGTTGCGTTGATTTTGGAAGATGATCTATTCCCATCATAAAAATATTGAATTCATTAAAATGAACAACGAAAATGGTGATATTTTTCTCATTCTCTATTTTGGAATAGAAAACATAATTTGAAGTGTCAAGCAAAATTTGGAAAAAAGGCTATGAGAAGCTAAAGTTGGAGGAACCGACCCAAATCTGAGATCTGATGTGGGATGTATTTTTCATTTGACACCCAAAATGTTACTTACGTACATTCCATTTTGAAAGGAATGTAATTTACAGGAGAACAGAAAATGTCTTATTAGGTCATATTGTACACAGCAGTGGCCACTATCAGATGCTGAAGCGGCAAGCTATATCTTATACCGAGCAGTTGAAGAGGCAGTGTTTTCTTTTCTTGCTGTTGTATTTTTTTACCCTAACTAGCTTAGAAGTTGTTTAGCTTCAATTTATCTATCTGACTGCTTCTACAGAAAGGAAGAATTCATACGTTGTCTCCACCATGCAGTTGTTGTGTTCTTCTTGCTGTTAATATTAATCAGTCTAAGCTTTTATTTGTGCCTGGCACTCTCATGAGTTCTCTGTGTATATAAATATTTGTGTGTGTTTGTAAATGAGCTAGCTTAATATCTTTATATCTCATATGCTGGCTCTGAACAAGTTGCCTCAGAATCAGGGGTAGCATAGCTGCAAAAACATAGCACTGCACATAGACAAACTAGAAGTAGGCCAAAATAGCCTGTTCAGTGCACCACATTAATGGAGCTGTACAGTTTCTGTGACCTGTGGTAGTGTCGCACACTGTTTTGCAGGGTAGGAAAATCAAAGTGGTTAAATGGCAGGTCAGAGACCCCTAATAATTGCTTATTATTGCATACCCTTCGATTCAGTTCTCATTCTAACAGTCTTTCTCTTAAGCTAAGGGAGGGTAGTTAGAGAAGGGAACAGTATTATGCCATTTCAGTTGTAATGGCAGCGGCAAATAAAGAGGGGCAGAGTGTTTCAGATTAACGTCTAGTTCTGCATGCTGGACTGTCAGCCAGTGTGAGGACTGGTAAAGGAAAGTGCCTTTATTGTAGCAAACATAACAGTGTCCCACACATTCAAATTATGAGTGCATAGCCTTGACTCAGGAGACCATTTTCATCTTACTGTCACAGTATGACATTTTTGAGTGTACATGACCATAGGTCATAAATAAAATTGTTTCCAGTTCCCTGCTGTTATCTGGAAAAAATGATTCCATTATACAAGAGAAAAGCACACTATGAGATTTTTTAAAATGTCAGTTTGTTCATAATATATGCAAATGTATATTTAGAGTCCACCTAAATGGAGTGGACTCCGTTTGCATATATTATGAAGTGGAGAGAACCGAAGTCTCAAGAGAGTTTTTTCAGCAAAGAGTGAATACACAAATGCAGAGATGCCTGCTCTTGTACAGGTCTTCTCCTTTGTTGACATAATGACGTGTTTCAATGTTACTGTAAAATAGAGAGAGTGTTTCACAGTGTTGTTCGATTGAATGAAGTGTGCAGAAAGCTATGTCACCAACTATTATGAATTGCTGTATAATAAAGGAAAAGCAAGCTGAACTGAAGATTTATTTTAAACAACTTTGCTATGAAGCTGTGCTGCCGTAGGTTAAGAGCTCCCCAGATCTTAGCTTAGTCAGCTACTGGTAGAACTGGAAAATTATCCTGATCTGGAAATGGTGTCTACTCACAAGGGCAAGGGGAGGCATTCTGGTATATAGGGAGGCATGCATCTAGTCTCTTTCCAGGTTGCCTTTGTAATCTTCCAGATCCTATTATTTTCCTCATCTCCCAGGGAAAGAGAGTTCTGGAATGTGTGTCTGCTTGCCCCAAGCAGACCTTCTCTTCATCTCTTTCTCCAGCAGCTTAACAGCGAAGGAATAGGCCTCTTCCCTGACCATCTCTATTACCTGCTTCTTCTGCTGGCTTCAGTACTACCTACCAGTACTGTACCACACTTCAGCCAAGCTTTTACTGCTTTTACTGCGCTGTTGCTACAGATCCACTTTTTGATCTTGCGTCCTTTTGCTACCTAATTGGTCTCTGTTTCTGGACTAAAAAGGCTACCCTTTCCATCGCCACACTGCTGCCTATTTGCAGTTAGGAGCTCAAAATTGTTGGCTTGTAAACTGCATTTGATCAAAAATGCTTTCAGGATATGCTTGGACCACTTTTGCTGTCAACTGTATTTCCTCTTTTTACACTTAAGCATAGGAGAGCAAGTTGGGTGTTCGTGCATTATCCATTGAAATTACATCTCTGACCTACTCTTGTTGGGCTTTCATTGCTTTGGTTCAATGGACATAGAAGCAGAACTCTAAAAGACTCTCAGGGGTCTCTCTGTTGTACTGCCTCACCTACAGTATGACGTAGAAATGTCTGTGCTAGAACTGTTTGTAATAGTTTGCAATAGTTCGTAAAAGATATTGTTAGCTTCTAGATATGTATCACTGTATAATTGCCACATACATTGGAGATTTATTTCTGAGGACCCTAATTAGATTTTGAAGGCATACGTAAGCAATGAAAGTGAAATTTATGAAGGAAGGAAAGTCGTGGAACATATATGTTTATATTATTGTATGTGTTTTACTTTTTTTTTTTTTTTAATAGTTTGAAGGTTCTTTTTAAGCAGCCAGGAGAAAAACATTAAACAACTCTGCATTTTGTTTTTCAGTGTGCAGTGACCTGGAGTTCAGGGAGGTTGCAAGCAGATTGAGAGACTGGTTTAAGGCACTTCATGAAAGTGGATTTCAGAATAAGAAGACTAGGATTGTACAGAGGCCTGAAAGAAGCAGTAAGAGATTTTCTACTTACGTTATTTGATATTCTCTTTGATACTTTTCTGTACTTTTGAATTTTCATTGCAAAGGCTTGCCTTATTCTTGTGTGCTTTAAACAGCTGTGTGTGAGAAACCATAACTGTGCTTTTCTTATTCAGTTTCTTATTTATGAAGCAGAGCTATGTGGTTTAGTACTGACATATGATGCTCGCTTTAAACTTCTAATGTCGTCTGGCAGGACTCTTGCTCGTAAAAATATATGGAAGCTACCATTCACAAAGCTGTAGCTTAAACTCCTGTTTGACTGAGAAAAGTACAGTGGAAGTGCTTTTGATAGAACTTGACAATTAGCTGCTGTATGAGGAGAAGAAAAGAACAAGTAGGGGTTTTGAGTAACTTTTCCATAGAGAAAAGTGAGTTGCTGAATGGCTAGCCATAAGAAATGATGTATAGAAGCCTTAATTATCTGTGACCCATCCTTGCTAGTTGATGTCACAGTAAGTACTGCTACAGAAAAACACATGGATAAAAAAGCTTGTAAGAAAAAAATCTTCAAGGATATGCTTCAGGAGTACTGGACGTCAGGAGTACGTCAGGAGTCAGGAGTACTAATGAAGTGGAAACAGTAGGGGGCCTAATTTGTTTTTATCCACCTCGAATGTTAAGATAGACTTTTTGTTGTAGAAAGTAGTAAAGTTTCAAAATGTAATTATCAAAGGGTTTTTTTTTTTTTTTGCAATAGCAATTAAAATGTGCAATAATAGTCTTAAGAGTGATGTCCTACTGTGGAGGAGACTCAAATTAGATTTTGTAAGCCTTAAACCTCTACCTTTCGTTAACATGAAGAGCAAGCTATTTATGAATTCCTCCAGAGTATAAATTTCACAGAACTTGGCCTCCACTGATTGCTTGCCTTGGTTCTTCCTTTATTAACATTTTAAAGTGTTTGCTTTTTGGTTTTTATTTGCTAGCCTCTCCATTCCATATAACTTTTTTTTTTTTTTTAAGAAATTCATTTATTTCATTTAATTGGAAGTGTTATTTGTTTGTGTGATTCTTCATGCTAAAGTAATAATGCTGTAAAACACAATGAAGTAAAGATGAATCTGTCTTATCTGGCAGTCTTTCTCTTACTATTGAGAAGAAACTGTTTCTGTTTCTGTAGGTGATAGGACATCACTCAGTTAAAGGTTACCTGAATCATTGCATAAGGTTCTGATTCTTGCCGAATGCTCAGTTTACTGAAGATAACACACTGAATAAGTACGGTCAAAAGCGTAGGTGGGTTCTATATCATACAGGAGTCTAAAGTTCACTGTTAAAAATTTGAAAACTTTATTTATAATGTAGTGCAAACACACATTTCTTAGGAGCATGAGCTTTTTCCCTTAGACATGTTCCTTGGTCATTTTTCTTTAAGCAAGGCTTACAGGTAGCATTTATAAGACTTACGATCTATTTTTGAGACAGGTATTTGTATCACTATGTGCACCCTTTCATTTATTTTATCACTTACTTGTTTGTTTGCTAATTTTTACAGTAGAATAACAATCAAACACTATGTTTAGACTTAAGATTTAAGATTTTAATATGCCTGACTAAAAATACAAGAGAAAATGTGGACTTTTGGACCTAGGAATCTGTTACATGATCCAGACTGCTTGATTTGTTTTCACATTGTGGTGATCCCTTGGTATAACATTAGCAACACTCATAAATTGTTGGTTTTGCATCTAGTGTATTCTAAATGTTCATGTTCTGGCTCTTTGTGTGCAATGCAAAAGGTAATAACCATCTATTTGGAAGATATAGATCAAAACAGGTGAGAGAAACGTGAGCATTTTTAGAATAGATTGTTGAATTATATCAAACAAACACCTAGATCTGTGAGCGTTTCTGCAGAAAACATCAGTGTCCAATTGTGATTAGCTTCCTCCAAAATGTTAATGTCTTTGGAGATCTTTCCCAGCTAACTTGATCTAGCAAAGGAACCTTTCTAAGGCAGATAGAGATACATACTCCCCTTTAAAAGCCTTGAGAGGAAGATCTTATCTACAAATACAATTCTTACGATTGAGATAAAAGGTTTCTGACCCAGTTTTCAGAATTTCCTTTTGGAAGCCTTCAAAGTCATGGAGTTCCTGCCTTTGTCTATATGCACAATTCACACAGGTACTTTAGAAGGTATCTGAAATTTAGATATACGTTACACTGGATCCTACCCTACTATTTTTTTGAGAGACGGAATCAAGTATTGATATGGATAGCTAGCGATCCATAAGAGCCTTTTCAGGGCTCTTTTTAGTCAAGTTGTAAGGCTATTAAATCTGTGTGGAAAAGTCTGCTTTTATTGCTGCTATTGACTTTAAATTCCCTGTGAACGTGGTGCTGTCTGAAATGTTTGACTTTACTTATGCTTTTAATCTTGTGGAGAAATTTGTCAGAAGTAGCTAGAATGTTTTACAAAACATGAAGTGATGACTATGCTAGGTTTAATTTGGATTTTGAATTTCAAAGGGTTATACCTCATCAATGTAAAAACAGAAGTAGCATTGTTACAATGATGTTGAAAAATTTGCTAGTAGTTACATAAATGTTAGAGTGTAAATGTGGAGGTTTAGTGATAGGCTTCGGCATATTTATTTTCTTTTTAGTGAAACAAGGCAAATCAAATGTAAGGAAATGGTTACATATCAGACTTTCAGGTGGTCCTATCTTTTCTTCTTTTCTTTCTCTCTTAAAAAAAAAAAAAGTGTTTTGATGAAAGCTAGAAAGTTTTACAAAAATTTTTGGACAGTGACCCTTTAGAATTTGGTTTTTTTATTAGTATGGCAAGTCACTCAAATTGCATACATCTAATTGTGATCAAATTGCTTTCAGATGCAATGGATCTTATTTATTCTGGCCAATATTTACTAGATTGAATTAATTTGAGAGGCTACTGCAAAAAAGCAGTCCTTCTATAGACAGAAAGTGATTGAACATTCAGTTGTAATTTCTTTCTTCAAACAAAGTAATGCATGTACCTATTTTTATGAATAAACTAATTTTATGTGTTAAAGTATCCTAAAAACAGATTACTTTTAGTGTTCTTTGCAGAAGGATAAGCATGGCTGCGTACATTGTTTTTTCACCTTACTGTTCTATCCAATTAGAAAATTTTTATACTAGATATTTTACAGTCTGACATTTTAGAACAGCTTCATAATAATTTTTTTATGTTTTTCAAAACCAGTGATTTTTTTGTCTTTTTAGTGATATAAGAAATTATTTATTTCATTTGTGGATTTGGGAGATGCAAAAAGTGTTTAAATACTTCTTGCTGTTGTTAAGGCAACTGTTTTTTCTAGTACGTACATTTTTGTACTTCAGAGTTGCTCATTTTGAGGCAACAAAAAATATTACACTTCATGAGAAATTAACAAGTCTGCAGTTTAGAAGAAAAATTAAAAAAACACACAAAGAAACAAAAGGAATGATATTCATTCAACATGGCAATGTTCTTTCTAATACCATTAAGAAATTCTTAAAGCTGTTGTTCTTCAAGAGTACTCGTGAGTATTCCTGAGTACTATCTCTAATCAAGTCCCTCAGAAGTCAGTCTCCAAAGTCCTAGTAGGTCCAAAATATCAGGCACATTAATTTTTAAGTATATCAAGATTAAACAAAGTCTAGTCACTATTTTGGGGATGCATGACAGCTAAATCTAGAAATAAGTCTTGCAAAGAACTTAATCATGTGTAGAGACCTTATAAATTACTCATGAGACCTAGAGATCTGTACAGAACAACAGCTCTCACAAAAAGCAGCCTGAATGCATTCAGTGTCCTTATTGCTGTAGGAGGTCCCTGGAGTTGTTCAGTACCTTTGGGGAATTAAAAATCTGTTCTGGCACCCTTTCTGCCCAGGCTGTCCTTTTTCTGGTCATAGAGTTTCTTCCTTGCTGAAAAAAAATATTCTGCATTTAAAAGCAATTTGTGACATCCTTTCTGATTGTCCATTTGCATTTCAGACTTCTCATATTTCAATCTGTCTGGTGGCACTTGGGACAGGATTTATTAAAAGTCTTGGGCATTTCTGACCTTCTGACCAAAGCAGATCTTGTACAAGTTGATAATGCCTTGCTGATGCTTTTCAGAGCTGTTATACCTGTTAAATAATCCACATTGATTGTTGCAATCATGAATATTATTCCTAAACAACAAAAAAGTGTTTAGGTCAATATACTGATATCGAGTTAAAAATGTAAGGTACCTAGATTGTTTTATTTTTACCAATGGTTACAGAATTTTGTTTAGCTGATACTTATTGTTTTTAAAATATGACTCTTATTACTAATAGATACCTGAATATTTCTAATAATTAACAGAATTTGATTTCCAAAATCCCTTTTGCATCCAGATGCATAGAGATTGTATATATCTAGAAAGACCATTATTGTAAATGCTATATAAACACTTCAATCTTATCCTCAAACAGTCTGGTCTAACTAGATGACACAGATGGGAAAGAAAAGTGTTTTCTACCTCCATTATTATTCCCATGCACATGGGGAACTAAGGCATTGAAAACTTTGGTGAAATTTTATCTATCTGTTCAAATAATTTTAAAATATTTTCTCTATTGATGTATTTTTTCTATTTTTTCTGTTAATTATATAATAAATTTATATATTAATAAAGGGAGTTAATGCATCAAATACAGAGCACAGAAAATACCACAATCTCACAAACATTTCTGCTAACTGGCAATCTGTTTCTGAAGAATATTTCTTGTGCACCTTGTCATGTTAGACAATGAAAAACCAGAGAACAAAGATAATAGAATCTTCTTATGGCCTGGGAAGAATATGATTATTTAGATTCTAGTAGTATACGCGTAGTTTTGAAAATAATAGAAAAATGCAAGAAGTCTGAAAGAAAATCACTTACAATTGGCTTGGCTAGATAAGCCATATATATCTAGGTAAGATATTACATTGGAGTTGCCAAAATACTCTCACAAACCTGGAACA